TGCGTACGCTGAAGTGTTGGACCGGCATTCCATCAAGCCAGCCGAGTTTGCAGAGTTCTTGTACGGTCTACAGGTCCTGACTACAGCCGCGCACACGACGGCCGAAGACTTGCTACACGAATCGACGCATGAAGGACTCTCTTCCGGCATCGTACACGACTACATTCGAGGAGCGAATGAAGCTTTCTTCGCGCCGAGAGGTCTGATTGTGTCGTTCCGCAGCGAGACTGCGCTCCTAGATATGCTACCTATACCTGCGGGCCACCAACCCACCGTTCTCGCCAACTTGGCCGATAAGACTGCAACGGCTGAATGGCGCGCGAGGCAATTATACCCCTGGATCGAAGCTCTCGACGCTGACGCAGTGCCGATGCCGAGCGAGAGAGTGCTTAAGCTGCATGAGAGGAGTGAACGTTTCTCGGGTCAGACGGCTACTGGCTCGTCTGATTATATTGGAAACACATCGTCGCATAACAGGGCGCTAGGATCTGCTGGAGCATATGAAGACCCACCTCACTCCATTCCTGGACCTCCAGAGGAGTCTCCACACGCACATGGTCGACATGGACGGGGTGGCCATCATCCTCGCGGCAGGCGAGGCGGTCACTGGTCGCCCTTCGGTATGCCAGGCCATGGCCCCTTCGGTGCACCTGGTAACGGACCTTTTGGTACACCTGGCAATGGACCTTTCGGGCGCGGCGGTCGAGGACCTTTCGGGCCCCGAGGCAACACCTTCTTCGGTAGAGGAGGCTGCTCCTCTCGTGGCGGACGTGGACGCGGACGTGGACCACCACAACCCGGAAACGAGTGGGCAGAAGTAGGCAAAGAATTAGGGAAGATTGGGGAGCAATTCGGTAAACATATGGGTGATTTGGGTGTTGAGATTGGTAAACGCGCTAGTGCTTTCGGGGTGGAGGTGGGTAGGATGGCTAGTGGAAACGCAGGTGGAAATGTGAGTGTGAGTGGGAATAGAGGGCCCACTACCTCAGGTCCTGCCTCGTACGAGCAAATCCACAACGACCTCCCACCTGCGTACGACACGCCACCGGGCCAAGAAACAGGCGTCCTATACGGCGACCGCAAAATCGACACGGCATACCCCACCGACAAGAAAGATAAGGGCAAATCTGCAGTCAAGGACCTGGATGACGACGACGACACCTCCTCACTATCATCAGATAGCTCAGACTCTTCCTCCTCAGACTCTGGTTCCGACTACGACTCCGACTCCGACTTCACCCCTGCCCCAACCCCCAAAGCCCAATCCCTCAAACTCGCGCGCCGCAACATCAAACAGCGAAACCGCGAGCTCAAGAAACAACACCGCCTCAGGAAACGTGAGTTGAAGTCCAAACACGCTGATACCAACACCAAGGGCAAAGGCAAAGCGGCGAAGAAGGCGAAGAAGGACCCAGAATGGAAGGCTGCGAAGAAAGAGTATAAAGTGCAGAGGAAGGAGTTGAAGAAGGAGAGATTGGCTGTGAAGAGGGAGTGGCGGGAGGCGAGGGAGGAGATGAAGAGGGAGAAGAGGGGGATGAAGGGGATGGCGGTTGGTGGGAAAGCGCGAGAAGGGTCTGAGAAGGGAGGAGAGGAAAAGATGGGGGTTTGGCTGGTGATTGAGAATTTGGCGCCTTGAATGGTTGGGAGACTGAAATAAGTGTATAGTCTCTGCATACAATGTATAGACAGCTTCAGTCAGTTTGTTCTTTTCTTGGCTGGGGTACACAGGTGACGTTGCTAGACCTAAGATGGTGCGGAGCGCTCTTTCCTGAGGCTGAACACACTCGACGAGTCATACAGAACCTCATTGCTGGTTAAAATGACTCGTTAGCCGAATCGCGAAGATCGCGCGTCACGCTTCCTCTTCTACTTTGCCAACTCACGGAAGGCAAGCACGCTCCTTTTGGTACGCAAACCAACATTTCAATTGGAAGTAACCCATTTTTTATGCATAGCTTCGGTCATACCAGGATCAAAATGTTTCCTAGGCCTTCAGCAGCACCGCGCGCTCGCGTCCGTCTCCTTCCCCGCAACCCCGCCATAAGCTCTCAGGAAATCGTCTTCCATCGTTCAAGATTATCCGCAAGTAGCTCCCAGGACATGACATGAGTGTCGCGCTATCTTTATGCATAGCCGCCATTGGACGATACCAAGGGAACGGCCCTGCAACAGCCTCGATGGCTTGCCGTACCCCGGAAAGCCGGTCCTGGACGGCCTGGTATATAGCTTTGAGACCCTCCGTTATGGAGCAATTGATCCCTTATTAGATTTCTTACGAGACATATATGGCGCCGAACCCCAAACGAGTGAAAATGTCTCCTTCTACTGACCGCAAGCGCGCTGTGCGCATCGCAGGATGCTCGGGAGGGTTTACGGATCGTTCGACTGCTATTATGAGGATGGCGGGTGATCCGGAGGTTGATGTTGTTATGGGTAAGACCCCCCTGAACGCTGGCTATGGAGGACTTTGAGCTGACACGAACAGGCGATTGGCTATCCGAAATGACCATGACCGTACATGGTAGCGGCAAAGTTAAGCAGAAGCCTACGAAGAGCACCAATGGCACGACGAGCCTCGAAGACCGGAAGAAGAACGCCATGTACGCCGATACCTTCATCCAATGCCTCGAGCCAGCGATACCGAATCTAGTCAAGAACAAGACGAAGCTCGCGGTGAATGCTGGTGCTTCAGATACTGAACTTCTCGCTGAAGTTGTAGTCGATATGTTGGAGAAAGCGGGTGCTGGTCACCTCAAAGTAGCATGGATAGAAGGAGACGATGTGACTGGACAGGTCAACAGTCTCATTAAGAAGGGAGAGAAGTTCGAAAGCTTGATGCATGGCAAGAAGCTTGAGGAATGGGGAATGGAACCGATATGCGCGCAGGCGTATCTGGGTGGACTTTGCATCGCAGAAGCTTTCCGACAGGGCGCCGATATCGTGCTTGGTGGAAGGCTTGCAGACGCTGCGCCAGTCATTGGTGCTGCGGCGTAAGTTGCTATGATACTTCTTTGACTTTGGCTAATTTGAACAGTTGGTGGCACGACTGGAAGAACGATCAATTTGACGAACTTGCCGGAGCACTCATTGCAGGCCATCTTGTAGAGTGTTCTGCCTACGTCACAGGAGGATACTACTCAATGTTTAAAGATCTTATGAAGACTGGCAAGCACATCAACATGGGCTTTCCCATCGCGGAAGTCGAATATGATGGTAGCTTCAATATTGCGAAAGAGAAAGATACCGGAGGTAGGTGGCGGCACCTTAAGCCAAGATGATACGCAGCTAACGTAAAAAGGTTGCGTGACTGTCGGAACATGCACTTCGCAACTGTTGTACGAGATTCAGGGACCGCTATACTACAACTGTGACGTCACGGCCGATATCACCGATGTCAAGATGGAGCAAGTGGGTGAAGATCTCGTGCGTGTCACGGGAGTCAAAGGTCTTCCCCCGCCACCGACGACCAAGGTAGGTATTACTGCTCCAGCTGGGTGGCAATGCGAGTGGCATATGTATGTATGCGGTCTCGATATCGAGGAGAAGTGCAAAATCACCGAAGACCAGATCCGCTACGGTAAGCACATCTTGTTGTTGCAACAAAGACGACGCCATACTGATCATGAACAGCCATGGGCGACAACGTGAACCGCTTCAAGACACTCAGATTCCACCAAAACGGCTCTTCGCCAATCGACGCCCGCAACCAAGACGTAGCAACAGTCGACTTCCGTATCTTCGCCCAGACTTCCGACCCCGAGCTAGTACGACCCGACATCCCCAACGGCTTCAACCGCTGGTGTCTCGAGGTATTCCTCCAATCTGCCCCCGGTCTCTCCCTATCAAACGACTTGCGCCAGATCGCACCAAAGCCCTACTACGACTACTGGGTCTCGCTCCTCCCCCAAGACCAACTCCCCTTACGCGTTCACACCATGTACGGCAACAAGTCAACCACCGACCTCAGCCCGCCCGCCATCACAAAAGAATACCCCCGCCAACAAACCTCCTACGAGACCTCCTCCCCAGTCGATCTGTGTTCCTTCGGTGAAACCGTTCGCGCACCACTAGGCTACATCGTCGCCGGCCGCTCCGGAGACAAAGCCTCAGACTGCAACTGCGGCTTCTTCGTGCGCCACGACGATGAGTGGGATTGGCTTCGCTCGTTCATGACGATCGAGCGCGTTAAGCAGCTTTTGGGTAAGGACGAGTACCAGGGCAAGCCAATTGACCGGTTTGAGATTGCGGGGATTCGGTCGGTGCATTTTTTGCTGCATGATCACTTGAGGGATGGGGGGTATAATACGTGTTCTTCGTATGATACTTTGGGGAAGAGTAAGTACATTGAGTGGGGGTTTGGGTGAGTGAACTTTACTGACAGTGTGACAGATGCTATGGAGTATATGCGTGCGAAGACTGTGGATTTGCCGAAGAAATTTCTGGAGAGGGGTCGTATCTAGATGCTGTTGGCCCGGATGTAGATATCTGATTAAAGCGCAGATTACACTCATGTCGCTGGCTTCTGTGCGTTTCGGCTCGCGATCATCCAGCTCCAGTGACGCGTGTATTTGATGAGAATGACCTCATGTGCTGCGATCCTTTTCATCGCCTTGATCTTTGGGCATCAAACTTCGGCACTCACTGTTCCAGTATGACGTAGTACAGGTGAGAGAGACGTCTTTTGCGCGCTAGGGCAAAGCGTCGTCGCTCTTTCCTTTCACAACAAGCAAGGTCCAAGCTCATGGGCTACAAACTCACTGACTTCACTTCCACAACTCCGACACTCACCTGCCTTCTAACGATTCTCTCGCCTTGCGCAGAAAGAAAGCAGCGCGGTGCACCTAATCGTGCTACGGTCGCGAGCGACAGCATCGGAAGCTATCCGGTAAGTTCTTTGCTCGATATGGCTGTTGTATTTGCACATACTAATAACCGCTAGTCACACCTACGCCGACCACGGCACTCAAACACCAACCCAATCACTGTCTTGAACTGCAGTCATGCACTTTCCAGTTCCTGATCCAAAGCGTAGCCAAATTGCGCAAGCGTGCTCCGGGTCTGGACATCCCGACGCACCCTCACCCTCACTACTCACCATCGCACCTGAGCTACGCAATCAGATCTATGAGTACCTGCTTGTCGATCCTGACCCTATCACGATTGAGAACACCACGGTTGATTATACAAAGACCAAGGCAGCCAAAGGGATTCCTACCTCCGTACAAAGCCCTGCCGTCATCCGTACTTGCCGTCAGATCTACCACGAAGCAGTCGGTCTCCTTTACAGCCGGAACGCCTTCCGCTTTAATTACAACCTTCACTTTGATGAAACATGCGCCAATACTTTCACGAGTCCCATCGAAGTATGCAAAGAATGGATAGACGGCATTGGCTCTTGCCTTCCGAGATTGCGCACTATCACCATCAACATGGACATACCCGAGATACCAGATGATGCACCATGGCAGGAATTTTACGAAGTCGAATTCGATGTGCGCCACGATTCCCGCCAGTGTTTGAACGTGTTGCCGTTACTTGACGTCTTCTGGAACAGCGACGTGCGCAACACATCAGTTATCCTTGAGAGGGCTGATAACGATGCATCAGATGACTACGACTCAGAGTCAGAAGAACCAGATCTTGACGTAACGTTATTCGCCAATGTCCTTTCCGAGCTAGGGAAGATGGATGCACTCGATTTGCGGAAAACACGTCGCTTGCTAGAAGGGATCTACGTGAACACGACGGGGACCCAAGGCACCATTGCATATCGTTCGACCAGTAGCAACGGTACTGTGCGGTGTAAGTTTGGGCATTCGGTCGAGACACAGCGATACGACATCGTTGCTCTACGGAGCCCACCAACCTTATTCAATCTGCCAGGGAATATTACCGATGCTATCATTTGGCTTGCACTCGAAGATCAGAAATTCACCTATAACTTCCACACGGGTGTCACGAATGGAACCCAACCCGGCATGCTCAACGTCAATTCTCAGCTTCGGAAGCTTGTTGCACCTTCGTTTCTATGCAAAAGCCGCTCTACCATGATACTGGGTACTAATTCTCTCCACTCTACCAAGACAATGTTCGAAAAACTTGATCGTCGCGTTGCAGAGTATTACAAGCAGACCTGGTCTTCGGAGCGGGATCCACCGACGTTCTGTAATCCGGTTTCAGCAACTACTTGTCTCATTAACGCACCAACGATCGTCTTGCAGTTCCAAACAAACGAGTCGCCACACCTAGCCACCGTTCATATTGACGCATGGGATCTCCTTCGTGTCACTGCGATATTTCCAGCCCGCACTACAATTACTGTCCGCGTATGCGGTGACCGTGGCGAGCTTCGGGATCATACTACGACCTTAGGCGATATCAGAAAGAACGCCTATCTACTTTTAAAGCACCTCAAGCCTGAATTAAACGCAGATGCGTGCAAGCTAGGTGTCAAAGTTGAGCTTGACCGCCAGTGTATCCCCATGCAGATTGCCTTCCGGAAGAGTGTCGAGGGTCCGCATCTTTTCGGCTTGCCTACGGTGAAGAGTTTAGACACGACTGAGTTCACCTCGTTGTTTGATAAAGGTAATCCAACATGGTGGAATAAAGTGCATACAGAGCACGATCTCGAGTTTTGGGCGATGCCATACTGGCCAGAAGAAACCGGCAACTGTGCGGACTGGTACAACTTGACTCTGGATGCCATTATTTCGCGTCTTTATTACCTCTGCGATTGAGTGGAGGATTAACACGCACACATATGTTCTTCTCGCATGTATTTACTTTTCTCTTCTATATCTAGCAGTGGTTTAGCCTACATCTACCTGAGCATATCTCACACTACATTACACCACGCCACAAGTAAGCCCCAAATTCACCATGACCTTGCAAATACCTGCCCAGGCATCGCACACCCCGGCGTCTTTCGTAGGCACCACCTAGTCGTTGTGACCGGTGTACCTTCGATTGATCTTTTCGCATCATCCAGTAATTGCGGTCGCGCGTCGTCACCGACGTTCAGTTTTGCCAGCGGATTCTTATCACTCGGGCACAGATCATAAGAAGATGACGTAGTGTAGGGTAAACGAGATACCTTCCTAGTGCGCTAGTGCAAACAGTCGCTGCCTTGGTGTTCTTTCCTTTAGGACAGCTAAGGTCCAAGCTCAAGCACGACAACCTCACTGCGAGTTCCTGAACACTTGCACTCTCCTCACCGCCATCTCTTACAAACAGCTACGCTTACAGCCATCAGGTAAGATCTTTCCCTGCTCTAGCTACTGTGTATGTGTATTTACTAAATACGACAGTGTTACACTTGCAGCCGCCGCGCAGCTACTCACGAGCTGAAGCGCTGTCTCTCACTCAGTTATGCACTTCCCGTTTCCGAAGCCCATTCACGGGCAGATAGCACGAGTGTATTCCCAAACCAGCAATCAGACTCAAACCTCACTACTCTCCATTCCGGCCGAACTTCGCAATGAGATCTACCAATACATACTGGTAGATGACGCGCCCGTTGTGATCGCGGACAAAGGAAATATCTCGGTCATCAAGGCCAGCGGCTTCGCAGGTAACGCAGCCATACTTCAGACTTGCCGCCAGATATACCACGAGGCAATCGGCGTTCTCTATGGTCAAAATGTGTTCCGATTCAACTACGGTATACTCATCGATTGTTACGATTTTCATACGATTATCGTCAATCCTGTAGAGACATGTTATAAGTGGACGCAACATATCGGATCGAGCCTCTCAAAACTGCGTACCGTTGCCATCAACTTGGCAACACCGAATATACCCGCCGATGTTTCCGGACATTCTCCGTGGGATGACTTTGACAGCTACTCCAGCAAGGACATGAAGATCTTGCCTTTGCTCGACATCTTCTGGAACGGAGTCGCATGCAACCTGTCAGTTCGTTTTGAGAGGAGTGGAAATCCCGTACGTCCCCAATTTGACGTCGAACTCCTCACCAAGGTTCTGTACGAGTTAGGAAAGATGGACACACTCAATTTGAAGATCGCGCGCCGTTTGATATGGAGCGTCCGAGTGGCTCCAAACGGCAAAGAGGGCACCATATGCTTTTTATCGACTAGTCGCAAGGTCGATGTCAGACGACAATTCCTACTGTCGGAGAAGACCCAGCAGTACGAACTTCCACCGAGCCAACCCGGATTCCTCGATCTACCTGTCAACATCATTAAGTTCATTAATAGATTGGCGCCCAGCAGCCATGAGGTCACATACAACTTCTACACAGGTGTTACGCATCGCTACGGTTTCGGTATGCTCGACGTCAACCTGGAAACCCGCGGGATGGCCCTTGTGGACTTTCACCGCAACAGCTGTGTTATTATCATCCTAGGCTCAGACACTTGTTTGTCTTCCGAGGCCATGTTTAGCGGGCTTGATCGCCGCGTTGCGCAATATTTCGATCGCTTGACCGATCGCTTGACCGATCGCAGAAGGCTGCAGCACTGTACACCAATTTCAGCGGCCCAGATGTACAAGATTGCACCGACCATCGTTTTGCAGTTCCAGACGGATAAGCCGTTAAGTCAGGCGAAAGTTCGCATCAACGCAAGGGATCTGCTGCGGGCTACCTGCGTCTTCCCAGCCTATACTACGATCATCGTTCGCGTATGCGGCCTTGATGAGACCCAAGACCATACTACAAGATTGGGCGAGATCCGGAAGCATGTCTTGGTTCTGATGGAGCACTCACTGGGGACCGCACTGACGGTTCGCGGTCCTATGGTAGAGGTTGAGCTCAACCACGACTGTCTCCCCGCGCGGGTCACCTCCTGGAGAAATCGAGGGTTCCTCAGTGATATTCGGAATCACGACAAGACAGTGGAGATAGTGGATATTGCTTGGGTACAAGATATGGTGAGGGCGAGGACGTGGAGACCGGAAAGGCACATGAATGGGTTCGTGAGCTACGGCATGCCAGAAGGTTGGGATGAGGAGACGCGATACAGCCTTATCAAGTGTCTCAAGAACCTTTGTTCGTGAGTGGAAGGTTGGTATACACGGTACCATTGTAGTTGACTTTCATTGTCAAACATTCCCACTGAAGGGGAAAAGATAGCTCTCATCTCCAGATGTCGAGATCAGTTTCGGCTGGGAAAGACGCAGTACTAGCACTAGTTGGCAAGCCTCAATCCATTAGACACCTCAACACCCATCTATAACATGAAGACCACATTGCCATACTCCACTATAAAATAAATACAACAAGCACTCACCCATTACCCACGCGCGACATGCGCATTCCATCAAATCCAACATCCAAGAAGATCGCCAACACCATCACGTTCGTCATTTCCAAACTTCGCCTCACCGCCCGCTGTTAGCGGCTTGGCGGCAGGAAAACGTCACTGCAGCGTTTTGATTGGCTGCACTCGCCTACTTTGCCATCATCACTTTACCTACTTTAGACGCGTGCCATTGCGCATCTGCAAACGCGTGGTATCGTGAAACCCACGCGCTACTAAAAGAGAAGAAAAAGAGGAATAGAGAAAGGAAAGGAAAGGAAAGCGAAAGAAGATGGATACTGTTGAAAGAGGAGCGATACGCGATGAGGAGGTTGGGAAAGATGCACGGTTAAGAGATGGAACAGCAGGCGATGTTGAGAAAGCTGGTATCAATGGTGTTGCTGGTGATGGAGAGGATATGATGGGTACGTCTATGTCAACCCCAATTCTATTGTTTATAACCTTGTCAATGGGAGAACTAACATCGATACAGGCAACAATCTATCAACACAAAAAGAACTTCCTCCTCTAAAAGGCCTCTCGTTCCTCGACCGCTTCCTAGTTGTATGGATCATCCTCGCCATGGGCATCGGCATCGCATTGGGGAATACAGTTGACTCCGTGGGTCCAGCATTGCAGAGAGGAGAGTTCGTGGGCGTCAGTATACCGATTGGTACGTCTCATTCCTTCCATCATCATCCCCATCCTATGATCCATCTCGTAGGTACCATGCCAGATGCTAACACGTTATATAGCCATCGGCCTCCTAGTGATGATGTACCCCATTCTCTGCAAAGTCCGCTTCGAAACCCTGCACCTCCTCCTCAAGAAACGCGACCTCTGGATCCAAATCGCCGTCTCCTTCGTTCTCAACTGGATCATCGCCCCCCTCTTCATGGTGGGATTAGCATGGGCCTTCCTACCCGACCGCCAAGATCTGCGCGAAGGACTTATCTTCGTGGGCATCGCGCGCTGCATCGCCATGGTACTCATCTGGACGGATCTTGCAGGCGGCGACGGCGACTACTGCGCTGTTCTCGTGGCGTTCAATTCGATATTGCAGATTGTGCTGTTTGCGCCTTTTGCGGTGTTTTATATCCAGGTGGTTAGTCATGGGGACAAGACGGATATTTCGTATGAGAAGGTTGCGCAGAGTGTGGGCGTCTTCTTGGGGATACCACTTGGTGCCGCTGTGATTACGAGGTTGGCACTGAGGTCGATGCTGGGAGAGGACCGCTATCAACGCAGGTTCATACGCTATATCGCGCCGTTCTCGCTCATCGGCCTGATTTACACGATCATCGTTCTCTTTGCTAGTCAGGGCGCGCATGTTGTCAGGCAGATTACGGATGTGCTGAGGGTTTGCGCGCCGCTCCTGGTCTACTTCATCGTCATCTTTACGAGTACGGTCTGGTTCTGCTGGAAGATGGGGTTCAGCTACAAGGTTAGCTGCACGCAGAGCTTTACTGCTGCGAGCAACAACTTTGAGCTCGCTATCGCGGTTGTCGTCGCGGTCTACGGCGCGGGTAGCGGGCAGGCTCTGGCAAGTACGGTGGGCCCCTTGATCGAGGTTCCTGTACTTGTGCTGTTGGTGTATGTCCTGAAGTGGATACGAAAGAGATGGCAATGGGTCTAGATGTCGCGGGAGTGTACAATATGGGATGGACATCGATCATGATGCAAGCTAGCCGTTGGACCGGCACCACGCCCCGGGCGTGAGGAAGATATTTGGAATGTTCCTTGCTCAACAGACGCTTGTGCTGGTGTATAACAGCAGAACGGTTTAGCTGCACAGGAGTAGTAATAGGACGGGTTGTGTATAAGACGAATACCAAGGTCATCCCGTCGGTAATAATTAATCTCTAGCACCAGTCATGTGTCGAAAATACACCATGAGACGAGACGCCAACATAGCGGGACCAGTATGACGGGTACAGTAGACGGTGATTCCCGAGTTGGAAGCCTTGGGTTTCATGGGTTTTGACGGGTCCCTCGCGGGTGTAGGGTTCCAGAACGTGCAAAGCTTAATTCCTCGCACATCGTAATCTCATTGGAAAACAAGTGACTGCGTTGCCGTGATTTGATTTGCGATGACACGCAGAACCCTGCTTTTTAGCGCGAACGGAGGAGATACCGAAGACTTTTACGCTAGTCATACGCCAGGACAGTTGGTCCGCCAGCGTAGCCAGACCAACGTGGGTCAGGGTATACATGCGAACCCCACAGATGGAGATGCTGTTCACACGCAAGGCGTTCGGCTTCGAATACCGGTTCCAGTTCTGGACAAGATTGAAGTTTTTCGAGCGGGCGGTGAGCACGTCAATCTCATTTTCAGTCGGATAGATATCAGCCGGTGGTACGTACAGCGTAATAACGCCCGATTGTGCATGATAGTACCCACATTCTGAATCAGAGGGACACAATTCTGCAACCAAATCGTAGTTGACGCGCGGGCTGTAGGCAACAAGGCGATGTCTAGC